GTTAAGGTCGCTGTCCCACAATGCTTATGGTCCTGAAAGGGTTAAGGCCCACGCTCGTTCCTTCGACGTTCGTTTGCTTCGCATGAGGTGCTAAAAATTCGACAGATTTTAAAATTTTCTTTCTTGCCTGACTTCTGGCACAGGGAGCAGCAGGTGATCGTGCTCGAGGGGTTCATTGATTCGCCTTTGCAAACTTCAAATTAGCCGCTTGTTCGCCAAAGCAGACTAGCCGATTGTACCAGAGACCTGGCAACTATAACTAGATTGGACATGACAGTCGAAGATCTCACGTCGATGTGAAAGGGCCGGCAGCCATCACTGAAGAGCCGGCAGCCATCACTGAAGGACCGGCAGCCATCACTGAAGGACCGGCAGCCATCACTGAAGGACCGGCAGCCATCACTGAAGAGCCGGCAGCCATCACTGTTACCGTCAAGGAAGGATGAGGCATGGTATTCACTGAGGCGCACGGTAGTCGTGGTGAATGTGTTTTCAGGATTCGGATGTTCTCAAAGACCGCCGACTGGTTCGGGTTTTACATTCATGAGTTAGGCTCGATAGCGATTCACCCTCCGGAGGGGTCTAACCTTTAGCTTAACCTTTGCACCGTGGAGACCCTGGGCATAACTGCATGGGAGACTCATGTTTCACCCGCACTTTATTTCCATTGCATTCAAGAATGCAATGGAAATAAAGACTGGTTTTTTACTCCTCAAAGACGGGAAAGGGAGTATGAATCGATTTTCATTGCAACGTACTTCGTCAGTGAAGACCGGGTAGGCCTAGGCCGAGGCCTACACGGTCTTCAGTGCACTGCCACTGCATTAACGTCTATTCAATACAGGGTTGAATGAAGCCTCCACTGCAATGTTTAGAGACAAAACTCGCAGCGGAGTGTGACGTCATGAATCGAAAAGCTCAGGGAACAGACGCTTCTACAAGAGTCCGAGGAAAGCAAAATGACTCAGAAAAGGGACGACGGGATGGAAACTTGCGGTGCTTTCATTCCAGCTGCGCTGCTCGGTGGTAAAATTATTCAGGGCTTCGCAGCTACAATTCGCATCTGCGGCCGAAACTCTCTGGCTTCAACATGGGCCAAAAACTGCCTTCGAAGTTCTTCGCGCGGATCCAACGTGCTGTAAGCTGCAACGAGAAAACGCCCATCGCTTGGACCCTACTCGGCTGACACTCAGTGACGTTCCGAAAGAAAAGGCCGTAAAAACTTGCTGCTTATGGTTCGCAATTTGGTTGCTGGCTGTCGCGGTGCACGAATGTCAATTGAATTTTTGTATGAAGCTTATGAAAAAATTTAATATACAAATATATTGCAATCTTGATGCGGCATAACGAGAAGTCAAAGAAGAGTGGATTTAAATAAAATGCTAGTGTTTCGCATGAGAACACAAATCTCGTCCGCGCAGTTCTCTATGCCGAACGCACTCTCCCGCGCAGACCTCTAGCCCGGATCCACCACGTGAGCTGAGTATGGCGTCTACACGATGGGACAGGTGGGCGGGAGGTGCCCTCATTGTGTAGTGAATTCCTTCCATTATTTACATGTTCCTGTTTGTTCATGATAATTCTAGCAGGTTTAGGCTGATAAACACGTTAGTTTTTCTTGTGCTCATCATGGAAAAGCCGAGGCACTCGCAGAGGGCAAGAATATTTATGGAATAAAGTTGCTTGGAAATCCCCTTAGTTCTCTGGACGGTGTAGTCTATCCTCATTATATTTTTGCTATGAATTTAGAAGAAAGTCATACTATTTTGATATTTGTTGGGAAAAGTTTCGAGGAATATGCAAGCTGTTTCCTAAGGGAGGGGATATGCTTGAATGCAATGGCTCTTATAGGTAGAACGATTCCATTTGCAAGTTACCAGGTGTTCTTTTTCCCATATCCTGTTCTGTGCTATTATGTAAGTGTGCTATGTGGGGTTGTTGCCTGCCTTGGAAGCCTAATGGGTGAAGCTTCATCTCCACCCATCATAACTAGTTATTCAGAAAAGAATTACATGAGGGATTCTATGGTAACAAGTGAAATTATGCTTTCATGGGAGCTTTGGTCATGTTCTAAACTCGATTCACTCTCCATCCCTCAGCATAAGAAGGCTATTCAGCCTTGTTCTCAATCAATAGGCCTATGGGTTTGCTTGTGACTACTTTCTTATGAATCATGAT